TGTCTCAACATCGACAACAACAGTGACTAAGCAACCAGTTAAACAACGTTTCAACATTGACAAAAGCAGTGATTAAGCAACTAGAAAACGACGTTTTGGTGCGCCACTCACTCTAAATGTCAGATTTGCTCACGTTTTCGCGTCTGGTAGCATTATCCTAACTGGCGTCACCCCCCTTCGGTCATGGGAGACCGCGAACACGGGTGAGGACGTCGCTCCATGAGCTAAAGTTAGGCTGTCCTTGAGTAGTTTTAACTGTTTGCGCAGCTGAAAGAGGACTTTTAGGTCTGGATCGGAATCCAGTTTGACTTTCGATGGAGTGTATTTGTCTGGGTCAGTCAGATACAGTATCATCGATTTAATTGCAGGATCATCCAACTTCTGAAGTTGGATGATGTCTGGGTCAGTTGATATTGACTTTTCATATTTTAAAAGAACTTGGCGAAGTTTGTCTCTTTCTTCATCAGATGTCAGAGCGTCGGCTTGGGCGACCACCTGTTCAATCTGTGATGAGACTGAAGAGGGTTCTTGCTCCATGGGGAGCTCCAACGAATCCTTTTCTGAGTCGTCGGGCTTGTCTATGGGTAAGACACCATAGATTTGAGGTCCTTGGTCGACGTCATCGGTTGAGAAAAGAGCGATGGCCTGTGATGGTTTCGTGAAACATACTGGCCCAGCTTCTTGACTCGGTACCAGGTTATCTGGGAGTCCTCCCAGAACTGGAATGCCTAGTTCAAAATCATGAAAGTCAGGTTCTGAGTTTTCAGTTTGTGATGACTCATCATCGTTTGTGTGTGAGTTTATCCCCCCTTCGTCCGATGAGGAGTTCTTGGAGGCAACAACAGCAATGTCTTGGTGTGTTTCACCGACATCTGTAATGTTGTCATTCGCGCCTTCAGATTTAGTAGCGATCAGATCACTACATTGTGCTCCTGGTTGGATTCCCATTTCAGTGTTTTTCAAAGTTTCTACAAACCTTTGTATTTTCTCTGTCTCCTCCGAGCTCAGAGGTGTAGGGCTTTGCTCCTGGGACCTTTGTGATTTTATCGCCTCGGTTCGTTTCGTCCGAGGTGGGGGAGGGTTAGGTACGTCTTTTGGGGGTTCCTCTTCGGACTTCCCCTGATAATATGGGTCCTCTTGGATCCCATATCTTTGCGTCCTACGCATGTCCCATGTACGACAATCACGTTCATCCTCTGAAAGAGGAGCCTTTTTGTCCCAGCGTGCACCATCATTACGTGGTTTGTCAGTTTGAAAATACTGCCTTTTCTCGCCTGTTTTAGGAGGAGGTGTCAACGCACTCCGTCCTTCCATTTCTAGGCAGTGGGGTTTAACCTTTACACCAGGAAACACTTCTATGGGCGTCTTAGAACATGCCTCGAACACATTCACTGCACACTGTCGCACGTTCGCTGGAAGAGACCTGTTCAGGTCTGTTCCTACCGCCCGAGATGAGGGTGGGGATGACGGAATGGTGTTAAAAGTAGGAGGTTCAAGTCGGTGCAGAGCCATCCCTATCACCCGAGATCGGGGTGTTGGACTGTGGCTAAGAGTAGGAGGTGCAAGTCGGTGCAGACCCGTCCTTATCACCCGAGGTGGGGGTGTTGGAACGGGGCTAAGAGGAGGAGGTGTAACAGCATCTGTCCGAGGTGTTTGTGGGTGACCTGGACTCTGTCCACGGTCTTCTCTGAGTTCCAGACAAACTCGCCCCACGTCAGAAATCTTGTTTGTTGCTGCGGCCAGTTCCTCCTCACAAGCCTTCAGGCGTTCCTGTGATGTCCGACATTCACCTTGTAAATGCCGACAATGACGGAGAAATATCGCCTTTTCCGCTTTGCAATCCTCAAGTTGTGTTTTAAGCACATCTATTTCACCTTTGCAGCGGGAAACTTGTGACATTTTCTCGTCGTGATCCCGTCTTAATACAAAGTATTTACTGGACAACAGCTCTTTAGCATCCCTGGCTTCAGATAGTGATGCATTAAGTAACTGTATTTTGCTATTCAGCGAATCAATTTCTGCATTTGCATTTTGCTGTAAGTGAAACATCTGTTCATAATGTTTTGTCAAGAGGACCTCGTTTTCGCTCTCAAATTGAAGGAAGTGTTCTTCAATTTTCTGAACCACCTCTTTTTCACTGTCTAACCTTATTGCAAGGTAATCAGCTTTCTCAACAACTGCATAGAATGATTATTTCAGCAAAATTGCAATTCTAGCCAGCTTTTCATAACTTGACACTGTAATTTCTGTAGAGGTCACACTCTCTGCAACCTCCTTCAGATTGTCCACTAACTCTTTTGGGTTCATGCTCTGCGCCTGTTTGCCATATGGATGTAAGGAAGCTGTCAGCAGCTTCAACGCATATTCTAAACAGCCCTGCATCCCATAAGGATCAAAATCCTTTTCTACCACACCTGTCATGGTTATTCACTGTTCAGCACTTTTTCTGGATAAAACAATTGCCAGCTTCAGATATTTTTACAGGTAAATATTTGTATCCTAGTGTTATTGAGTTTTCACACTATTTTAAGCATTGGGTTTACACAAAAGTACTGTTATAAGTCAACTTATTCAACTGTGGGTACCTATAGGTTTTACCCCAATTCATGAATATTTAAGTAAATGCTTCTATGCAGTGTTACCTTATATGTGCTTATTTCTTAACAGATACTAGATTACCAAGCTCTTTTTAGTGTATTTTACTCTAAAGCACTGAATTTTTATAAACCTGCAATTTTTCTTTTTAGTCTCACAGCACATCAGTTTAAAAATGTTTTTAAACTGTTTACTTCCAGAAATTCGCTATTTTAAACAGTTACCCATCAACCCAGGTGGGTGAAAAGAGAAAAGAAAATTGATGATGAGGAATAATCAGGCTTTTTTCAGAAAAACTGTACTCCTTTCTCCTGCCAATCTTCTATTTAAAATTAAATAGGAGATGTAATTGTTTAGGTGGTAAATAAAATCAGAAAAGTCTCTTTTTCCTGATATATTTACTCTTATTTAGTGATTTAGCAATTAAACGTGCATTATCTTTTAGCAAATGAGTAAACTTTATCAACTCTGTGAATATCTGAAACTGTACCTTTTTTGTTAAAAAGTTTCTACCTTTTATTTTGTACCTTCTCAATGAGGAATTACCAGTGAATAAAGGTTTGTTGGTAAATGCCTTTCCGCATAAATACCTTAATTACTTTTTAAATGCAAGATAACAGTGATTATTCAGCTTTGAGGAACGTTTATTAACTCAAAAATGCCTTACAGAAATAAAAAACGTTTAATTTCACTCAAAATACCTAAAACTGAAGTGAAACTGTGATCTCAAGTTTCCCAGGAGGGGGCAGTGTTTAGCTTTCTACCAGCAGGAGTCTATGACGACTTCCTGTGACGTTCGGTTGATATCCTGTTGTTAGCCGCTTAGCTTAAAGTTAGCTTCGGCTAAACTCGGTTAAAATCAACATTTCTGAACGGTTGAAGCGTAAACGTGGCGTTTTCTCAACAAGCACGACTTTTTTGCATGAAACATGAGTTTTAGGGGCATGTGGCAAGTTACATTTAGTGATTTTAAGCACAGCAAAGCTCTCGGTTGCAACCGAGCTCATTTCCGACATGGAGGAAGTGACATGACACGTCACTCACCCGGTCGTTAGCTGTTAGCTTAAAATTAGCATCGCTAGCGTTGTTCAAAAACATCATTTAATGACGGATTTTAAACTCAAACGTGGCGAAATTTCAACAATTATGCTTCGAAGACACGGAGCAGTGGATCAGAATCAACTTTTAAAGCATTTTTGAACTTTAAAAACAGATTTTATTCCCTATGAAAACGAGTTTTCATTTCCGGGTCACGTGACAGAATCCGCCAATCACAAAGCAGCACGGGGGTGAGAGGAAATGACGTAGGCACGTCATTCACTTCTCAGCAAATCAGAGCGCTCCACAGCAGCCAATTCAACCAATCACGCAGCGTTTTTCCCAGCTAGCATGTTAGATTTATCTGAACAAGTCCGTCAACTTTTTTCGTCTTTTAA